AGCAAAGACTGGACCGCGAAAAGTGAGCGAGGCAGAAGTGAAATCTGAAATGTTTGGGTGTTGATGCTTGAAACGTTCAAAGCTGCATGGATCGGCTTTCATGAGGGGTCGGCACCACTGGTCTCCTGCGGTCTGGAAACATGTGTTGCTTTCATGTTCTTTAGCTGCATTATAGTGGCTATGATATATTGATGTAAATGATCTATCCCCATCTTGTGAAGAAACATGCCCAGACACTCCATGGGACTGGAAGAGTTGCAGACCATTACCCCGTCCATAGTTGTGTGTTCGTTGGGATGTTTGGGGTTCTGTTTTGGGACTCCCTGTGATGCAGATCAGAACCACCGGTTTGCATCGCCACTGTGGCGGATGCTGTTCGATACTCCCCCGACACGAACTTCATCACCTTCGACGGACTGCATCGGAGTTCGGGGTGTCGCTGTGTCACCCAGAGCTGCTTTTTGTGGGAACACGATGTGAAACAGAATCATATAATATATTCGTTGAACATGGTTTTGTTTGGAGGCGATCGACGCGTAGAAATCCTCTCTTAAGTCTTAAGATGCATTAGAAATCACAAGATAGATATATAGGACACAGGCGTACTCTTAGTCCTTATTTGGTTTAGAAGGGATTTCTGAACTAAACCACTACAGGTTAAACCTTTAGCAAAGGACCTAAGATATATCCCCCTAAGTTAAGTCTCAACAGGTTGTTTCTTGCCTTTTTTGGGGAACCTCTAAATGTAAACCCCAAAACTTTGCCTATTGAAATGCACTGCATAAAAAAGACATGCGCAACCGTGGAGAGAAGACGCATCGAGCAAACGCGTCCTGAAGATAGCGCAGGTGTCGCGCTTGATCCTGGGCGCTGCAGAAATGGCGTTGTTAGATCTTGCGAAGGACGGAAGTGGACAGGAGTGAGGGAAGAGAGAGGCTGAGCAGAGCAGCTATCCTGAGCTCTACATTTTTGTTGGGGTGTTGGAAGGGGGACAGGAGCTTGATAGGAGATTGACAGTAGCCAGAGGGGTCAAGGTAGGCAGGTGTTTGAGTTCCATGGAGTGTGCGAAATACAGGGAGCCCGTGTTCAATTCTTTGTTGCCACCCCTTCATGACTCCCAGACACTCCATGTGTGCCATATTTACATACATTGACCCCTAAACCACCCCTATATGTAGGTCAATATGCCATACATGGAGTGTTTGGGACTTGTTCTGTTCTGACCATGCTCATGGCGCATGGCGCATGGTGATGGGAACTATCAGCTCACATACTTCTAGCACCATCAAGGCAGTTTCTTGGAGTTGTTTCAAACAGAGAGGTGAAATGCTGGTCCCAAGCTATAGGTGAGACAGGCAGGCGAAAGGCAGGCTGCGAGCCTCCTTAGGCTGCTTCTCCTTGTCCTTCTAGGCATCGCATGTTGCTTCGAGGAATGCCATCCGCCACTATCTCTGACAAACGATGCATCAAAAAGGTCAATCCGGCAATTCCAGTCTCCCCATGCAGGACTTCTTGTTCACGAATGCGGAGCGAAGGGTTCATGTGTTCACTACCGTTCGCAATTGTCCGCATGCAGCTGTCCGTTTGCGAGCCGCCGAACGTGATCGACGATAAGGCCGTGACAGTCGGGGAAGCTTTTGGAGGGAGCGTGAAGCGGCAGATTCGTGCCAAATAGCGTAGAAGTTTAACATGTTGAAGTGTGGTGGATGATTTGCTGCGCGGATGCAGTGTTCGTGAGATCCTCAGTTTCCTTCGCTGGATTGGCGTTCCTGGTGGTATGTTGGAGGTGTTGGATGTCGCTGTTGCAGATGGGGTTTGTGTTTCATGCCTCAAAGCTGTGTTTTTGCGACACATCTCAGCTACAATTGCGTTAAGATGTGATTGTGCTCAAAAAGTGACGAAATTGTTCCAAATGTGTGGTGCATGTGGCGTGGTGGAAAATGTTTTCTGATGACATCATGAAGCTTGAAGATGTCATGTCGTCACTTCTCATCGCAGGCACAGTATTTTAATTGTGCACGTTGGATGCATCGAAGTTGAATTTTTGTGGCAGGCGCAGGAAGTCTCAAGTGCGGATTTCGTGGCAGGTGCAGTACTTTGTGGACCTTGAAGTGCCGATTTCGTGGCAGGTGCAGCGCTTTGTGGGCCCTGAAGTTGAAATGTTCGTCATAAATTCCGGAGGACCATGATTTGAGGGTGTTTCGAATGGCTCTGCCGATCTGGTCCAAGAAATCAGTGGAGGTGACGAAAGCTGCGATGGAGTTCATCCTCAAGCTTCGAATGGACGGGTATCATGTGAACCACATCCATGTGGACCAGGGGCACGAGTTCGCTGGGCACTTCACGAATTGGTGCCGAAAGAGAGGCATTCTGATCACAAGGACAGCTGGCGATGAGCCACAATCAAATGGTCGAGCTGAAGTTTGTGTCAAGATGGTCAAGACCATGACCAGAAAAGCCCTGCTCCATGGAGGAGTGGACCACAAATGGTGGCCTTGGGCAGTGCGCTATGTGAATGAAGTACTTCGTCAACACCGACTACATGAGAAGCCAGAGTTTCCCAGCTTCATGGAGCCAGTGGTGATCAGAAAGAGGTGGTGGGAAAAAGAATTCAGTCCGACGATGGAGACGTTCCAATACTTATGCCCTTCAGCAGAAAATCATGGGCATTGGGTAGTCAAAAGTGGAGAGCCGCCTCGCCTGACTAGAAGCATCTTCAAGAAGCTCACCACACCTCCAGTTGAAGCCCACTGGATTGCTTTGTAGCGAGAGTTGCTCGACGGATTGACATTGCGGAGACGCTTGCGAAACAAGACATCGATCAAGAAGCTGGAAGGCCATGAAGATCCAGCCGAAGAAGATCAAAAGCAGAAGAAAAATAGGTTGAGGAAAATCATCGAAGAAGACATGAAACACATCGTAGAGGACACCCCAAAACTCGCCATTTCTGCTTCTACACCTCTAGACCTGAAACATCCTGAAACCTTTATATAGACACATTGTTTGGGGTCTCTTGCTGGGAGAGCTGCTGACAGTCGTTTATAACAGACTGGTCGTTTAAAACTGTTCTATTTGTCCATTAATGCAGCTTGGCAGCATTCAGTTTATTGGAAAAATGGTTTTATCAATGACTCACTCGCACTCCATGTTCGACCTGCTGAAAAAACGGGTCTTTCCTTGAGTCTCTATTATTGCATGGTTTCGGTTGCCAGGAGATATTGAGGTTCACAACTTGTAATTTATTAAAATGATGTGCAGATGTGCACATTATACGACCTTGGGCGAACCACGATGCGGCCCACGATGCGGCTGTCGTGGTCTGAAACCAAAAGCTAAGCGTCCGCAGGACAAAACTCCGGCCATCCGCTTGGCGGCCACCCGCGGTTTGCAGAAACTCCCAGGTGCGGCGCTGTGGACTAGTCGGTTTTGGTGTGATCGTGGGCTGGGGCAGGACTTGGATAATTGATGGCAAAGAGGCAAATGGGTTCTATGGATGAATTTAACATTATGATGGACGACACTTACACTGGGTTGTTGGTGCCATCTTACTCAGTGTCAACCGTTGTAGGTTATACCATCTATACCTCTTAAGTT